GTTTAGGGTTTCGGGTTTAGGTGTTTAGGATTTATAGGGTTTAGGGTTTCGGGTTTAGGTGTTTAGGATTTATAGGGTTTAGGGTTCAGGGTTTAGGGGTTTAGGATTTATAGGGTTTAGGGTTCAGGGCTTAGTTTAAGGAAACTACAGGTGGGGATATAAGGCTTCCATAAGGTATATAGACCTTCTATAAGGCTCCTATAACGGTAACTACTAGCCACTTGAGAATGTCCTAGATTTGGGGTGTAGGTGTTCAGGGATACTGCCAAGGTATTGCAAGCAACACAACTAGGGTTACTACGAGTACGAGGCTGTCCAAGAAGGTCTGTTCAGTCCTTCTATGCCCTAAACCTGGGTCGTTAGCACAGAGATGCACGAAGTGATTTCTAACGTGGCTTTTGTGGCCAGGAGTTCCCGTTGGAGGGTTCCCGGTCTTGGTCTCTTAGGTTTCGGCTCTGCGCGGTTCCGCTATCGAAGGGATCTGTGTTAAGGCAAGCAAGCTTCCAGCACAGCCGTGGCATAGCATACCGAATCCATTCAGTCAGGGTATAGTGCAGACTTTATGGACACGATCACGACAAGAAGGGTACAGAAAGAGCCTTCGGCTTGCAGCCAAGGTTTTCGGGCTTCGTGTCTCGGAAGTGCTGCGCGATACTCATCAGAGCGAGCGCAAGAAACCATAAACCCTAAAACCTATAAACCCTTTGGAACGAGGTCTCTCTGAAGTGCCTCAACCCTCAACCCTAAATCGAGTTTGGCGTTTCAGCTTCTTCTGTTTGAGTTCTTCCTGTTATCTCCCGTCTTGTCCGCATGCACCGCGCTTCTGGGCTTCGGAGTGGGGATTTGGAGTTCAGCGCTTCCAGCGACGGTCTTTCGGGGGGCCGGAGGTCGTAAACCCAAAGCTCGCAGTAAGCTAAACATCGGATCTTCACCCAAAGCACTAGTAATACTAATAGAAGTACGGGTGGTGTAGGCCTGAAGACTCTACTGTGCTAACTCTTGGAACTAGCTAGAGCTTCCCACTCTCTGAAAATAGGGACCCCGCAACTCGACCATAAGTACCAGAATCCTGCTTCTCATGTTGGGCCTAGGATTTAAGGTTTAGGCTTTAAGGCAGTTTTTGTGTTATGTTGGGCCTAGGGTTTACGGATGAAAAACTCTTCCCTCTGCAAGCAACTGAAATCCATAACCCCGCAAACGTAAATCCTGCTCCCCTATCCAATAGCCAGGCCCGAAGAAAGAAGTAACTTGCGAATACAGCTCGCATGCTTTCAAATCTGATACTAGTAGCAACCCCCGCAACCTTTTCGCATCCCAGCCATCGCAACCCGTCAAGCCTACTCCCTTTTTGCAAAAACCCAAACCCCAAACCATAAACCCTAAACTAACCCTAAACCCTAAACCCCTAAACCCCAAACCCTACCTATGCTTTGGATAAGCCCAAAGGCTCCGGAGCTCCGAGATTCCACGAGATCGCCATGGCGAGGCAGAGATCTTTTGGGTATTCGGCCCGGGGGCTTTTTAGGGTTTAGGGTTTAGGGTTTTAATTTTACAAACTTCATACATTGAATTCAAGCGTCTCTGCTTCGAGCGCTGTGATTCTTCCGGGAATGGTGAGCTATCCACCCTGGATGCTTTCAGGGTGCAGTTTGGGCTTGAGACTCTACATGACTCTACTGCTCAGAGCTCCAAGGGCTGGGGCTACTGACAGGCCCGAAAGCCAGCTTGAACGGTTCCAAAATAGAGCTAGGCTTGAAGTACCCGGAAACCTCATAAGCCTGGTTCTTTCTGATACTGAGTTCCTCTCCACGAATCCCCCGAAGTGCAGAGTCGACGAAGAGCTGGGTGTTGCTGTGGGATGCTGGAAGACGGGATCATCTTCTGAGACTTGGGCCAGGAAAGACTTGGCTTCGAGGATTTAGCGAGCTTGGTGACGCCCAAAACTTGGTGCCCTTGAAGGAACAAAGCACTCGAAATTCCGATTCACGTCGGAATGGCAGAAGGGTGAATCCCAGAATTGCATGAAGATGCCGAGCCAATGAGTCAAGGGTTTTTTGGCAAAAGCCTGAATCCTAGTCCAGTGGACTGTGTACGCAGACCCGCAACACCACACCTAAAACCCAATCATCTTTGCAGAAAGAACCAGCGGCCTAGTGAAAAGGGAAGTTCCGGATTTCTAGTCCATAACATTGCCAAACGAAGCAGCATGTAAGGCTTCCGGATCCCGCTAACCTTCCTTTCACAAAACATGCGCCCGGACATGTTTTGCTACACTGAGACAATTTCGTGCCTAGTGTGCTTGCTGCTGGAGGCCAACTAAATCTCGTGGTGGTGCACATTGTGCCCAATCCCAGATAGCCCAATGCCTTTTTATTCAGCAGTCTGCTGAGATCGTGATAACAGTTCCCCAACGCCTCATGCTAGAGCAGGGCGGTGACACATTCACTTGACTGCTTGACGCCGTCTGCTCAAGAAATCGCCCAGCTGCGAGGGAAAGCCTTGCCACAGCACATGTGGACAAGCCATGACAAGCCAGACTAGCGGTACACGACATTAGAAGAAAGAATATGCCAGGATTGGGGCACATCTTGGTATGATGGCTGGCAAGCTTTGAGCATTTGACGCAACTGCGCATGCCCAGAGACCTGAGCACCCACTTCCGTATACTACTGCAAACATTGGCCCAGACAATTTGAGATAGACCTAAATGTGATCTAGACTACTTAAGCCCTGAACCCTCACGGGATCGGAAGCACACTCCACTATGGACCTTCACAACCAACCTCGAAGTCCTGAAAGCCATATGGGGTTTAGGGTTTAGGGTTTGGGGCTGAGGGTTTAGATGACCAAAAACAGCATAGTCTGAGACCCGTACCGAGGATCTTTCCGTTTCGTAAAGTCGTTGTGTCGTCTGGTTGCTTGGATATAGGGCTCAAGCTGCCCACAAACACATTTAACAAGGGCTGGGTACCCTCGCCTAGGAAAGCTTTATCTTCTGATATCATAAGTAAGTACAGAAATAAATAAATAGACAGATAGACAGACAAAGTGATAGATAAATGAATGATAAACAAAAAGATAAACAGATAGATAATAGCTTAGCAGAAGAACAACTAGACAGAGGCAAAACAAGAAGGCGCAACTTAACCGATAGCGGCTTGCATCGCCGAAGAGGCTATCTCCAGGCAATGCTGGCTAGTATCAGTACCACGGCATTCTTTTTCTGGACCTGCAGCGGTGTGACTCGACCCGTCTACCTTGGAACTGTGGGGTTGGCATTTGCTTCCCTTGCAATCAGCTTCCAGTAGGAAGGGTTCTCTACCTAAACAGTTTTTTCTTGACTGGCCCTACGATCGCTTCAAGGCAAACGGAACATGGTGAAGAACAGGGACTCGAATGCCAGGATGCAGTGCGACGCTTTCGGTCGAATTAACCAGCAAATGCGCCTACCGGGGCTCAGGTATGGCCCGTCTGCGCTAGCTTGAGGCCGCTGCTTACGTACCCGGCACTGCTCAAGGACTCAAGGAGATCATAGCTCCAAGAGGTGTCTAAGATAGTGTCGGGCCTCCAAACAGTAGAGAAGACTTTTTGTGTTCTGTTAATATAACTATTATACAAGAGCAATAATCAAGGAGGTGCGGTTACTCGGTTACTCTCTGTTCCGACAATAATATGGCAACAGCTTGTTGGCATCCTCTTGTCTAGACTGATGTGGACACTGATCACTGTTGTCGCGCCGGCCTTTGCAGAAATTTCTGTGCAAGGAATTCGCCCGTACTGCTCCGCAAGCCCACCCAGCCAGTCGTGACCTTGCCGATAAGGGCCGCGTTGCGAAACATCTCTCGGTCACCGCTATCGTCATACTCATGACCTGGAGCCGCAAGTTGTTTAATGAACAGGAGCTGATTATCGCTCTTCCCTAGTCGATTCTGGTGACATTGCAAAGTAATAGGAACATGCGACGAAAAAACTGAAACGAGCACATCCGGCAGGTTACTCCGAACATATCAGAACGTTGTCATTTACCGGGCCTCAATCGTCCCCCAAAATCTCGAACTTGAACCCTGCATTCCTAACAACCGCCATGCTCAGAACCTCCAATCCCGAACCAAAGACCAGCCCCGACAGCGCGCCCTACCCGGGGCCCTGTGCGCCTGGAGCTCCCATCACTGGCTGCTCCATCTCGTCGGGTGTTTCGACGGGCTCACTAAACTCTTTCTGCTGGGCGATCTCTGCTGTGGTGACTTCGAAGATCTCGATGACGTCACCGGCTTCCAGCCATTGGAGGATCTCTGCCGTGCTCTCTGGCTTGGCAAAGACTGGCAAACCCTGATTCAGAACTTCGTACTCCCCCGGGTCAACTGGCTCGATCCAGCCTTCAGGAGGGCACAGACAATCCATGGTGACCACGACTAGGGCCGCACCCATACCAAAAACCAGGAAAACGGTCTGAATCATGTGCTCCTGCCACGCGACATCTCCTTGCCGGGGAAGGACGTATGCTTGCCCCATCAACACATCGCGGGCCAGCAGCCCGTAAAGGGCCACCAGCATAACGTCCTGCGCGGTCACCACAATACGTATCCCGCCAGGCCCAAGCCACTCCTCTCTGCTGCCTCCTAGCCCCCTATCTCTCGAGGTGTCCTGCAGCATCACAGGGAACGAAAACATAATGTCGGCAACCACGCCGGCCACAGTGTTAGCGTTGCCAGCCAAACATGTCGCGAAACATGTTCGAGCTGCAGTGAGAGACCAGGGGGCAAGAAAAAGTACCGACAACCAGCCAACGAAGGCCGGGATCCCGAACGATGGAGAGCAAAGGCTCCAGCCGACCAGCGGGGCCACGGCCACGAGGCCGGTGGAGCGCCTGAACTTGGTCCAGAAATTCAACGCCTTGCTCCTCCTGTCGGCAAATAGCAAGTAACAAGTATGCCTGTTTGTCGGGAGTTAGGTTTGGGTCATTAAGAACCACCACCACCAACAACAACCACCACCAACGACAACAACCACCAAGACCACCACCACCCACCACCCACCACCACCACCACCGCCACCACCACCACCACCACCACCACCACCACAACAGTAACAAAACCAACCACAACACAGACCTCAACACAAAAAAAACAAACAAACAAACGAACAACCAGACAACAAACATCTAACAACCAAGCAAATTACAACAACAAACAGACCAACAAACAAAACAAGCAAAGAAACCAACAAGCATGCAACCAACAACAAAAGAGCAAGCAAACGACAACCAAACAACAAAAATAACAACCAACGAAAAACAACACACGACAAACACACACACACACACATATATATATATATATATACACACGCCCCAAACAACAAGCAACAAACACCAAACAGCAAGCAGCAACCAACAAGCAACTCAACAAGAACAAAAGCAGCAGAAGCAACTACACAGCAACAGCAATCAACAAAAACAGCAGCAGCAACAACAACAATAACAGCACAAACCACAACAACCAACCAACACCAACAACGCCAACAACACCAACAGCAATAACGACAACAACAACAACAACAACAACAACAACAGCAACAGCAGCAACAACAACAAACAACAGCAACAGCAACAAGAAACAACAGCAACAACAACAACAACCACAACCAAGAACAAACACAACCAACAAACAACAAACACAGACGGCACACACAAACAACAAAAAACAAAGAAACGAGAAACAAAACAACGACAACGACAAAACAACAAACCCAACAACACAGCCCCAACGACAAACACCAACACTGAACAACAAACAACGACAAACACCCACGCACAACGACAAATCACAACAAACAACGACAACAACAACAACAACCACGACAACAACAACAACAACAACAACGACGACGACGACGACGACGACGACAACAACAACAACACCAGTTTTTGCAATTGAACGCTGCGCGAGC